CAAGAGCTGGCCCTTCCTTTCCTCCTCCTCTTTGTCCTTAGATCTTTTATCACACAGTATTTTAGTCATCTGATCATGATCTTTTCCTCCACTACATGGTAAACCCCGAGGGCAACAACTGTGGCTTGTGTTTATATTCTCAGTGCTGTGCGTGGCACATGGCAGGGAGGTGCTCAATAAATACTTTTTGAATTAATGAATGAATATATAACAGCTGTCAGGAACCTTTGTCCTTGTTCATCTGAGCTCAGCATAGCTTGTCTTATATATGCCTCCAGCACACTCAGAGATTGGAATTCCAGATAGAACCTGCCCACTCCTCTGTCTTGCTTGCTAACAGCTTCCACTTTAAGATTAGAAGCCAAAAGTCTGGGTTTGGGGGCCAGTGCTTGAATCCCCAAAGTGCTCTGGGACCCTGCAAGTCCATTTTATTCTATAAGCCTCAGCTTCCACCTCCGAGGACAATAGCACCCATCCCACAAGTTTGTTGGGAAGATTGAATGTGATGATAGGAGTGTAAATGAAAAAGGCTGGCTTGGGGTGGTTCCTGCCAACCCTGACCCTGATCTCAGGGGCAGTGACAGTGCAAGTACCCCAGGTAGCAAGATAGGTGGATGGGCACAGTTAGCTGGCAGGCTACCAAGCTCTTTCCCAAAGTGGACAGGCCATTTCACACCCACAAAGTTGGACTTTGATAGGGCAGACCCAGATGTGAGCTGCTGGGTGTTTAGATTTGAAATGGATGAGGGTATGTTGGTTCCTCCTCTTAAGTCAGGAATTTGGCATCCTCGCAAAACAGTGCAGCCCCTGCTCTTTTACCTTCAGCCCACTGTTAACTCAGTAACTCTGAAGGTGATTCTCTTGGACATAAAAAGGGACCCCACGTGTCTTAAATGGGGGCCCTTCCCCAGACTTCCCATCCCAAGGTTCCCTGAGGACGTGCGGGAATATTTAGGAATTGGAGGAAAAGGAACTCAGCCTAGTCTGTGCTGCATGTCCATTTATAAAGAAAAAGCAGAGCTCTAGACCCCAGAAGTACGTGTTCCTCTGCTTTTGTCACTCTTAAAATAGAATGGCCCTACCTGGACAAAAGTCAAATCTGTAGTGTGCCTATAGTTACTCAGCCTGTGCCATAGAGATATCAGTGGACATTCATTGATTCCTCCATGACAACCCTGCAAATTAGGTATTGTTTATAAGTTGATAGTAGGTATTCAATACCTGATAGCTATTACTGGTGTCTGGCAAATCCCAAACATGCCTTTTCTCATTTAATGCATGTGATCACTCCTGAGACAGATATTGGCCCATTCCCTACCTGTGGAGGATGCAGCTCTATCAATTCAGGTGGCTGGCCCCAGGACACAGCTAGTGACCCTCATCACCACAGAGCAGAAGTATGTCTTAGAACTCTACTCTCTGACTCCAGTATCTGTATATCCATTTGACCAAATGGGAGGGTTGTGCTTGAAGGCATGATTCTCTGCCAAATGTCTCTGCCCACCATATCCTGGGACACACCAGGGCCATCACAGTGGCATGAGTTCAGGCTGCTTGAACCAACTTCCCATAGCTGGGCCCTAGTTCAGGCCAGGGCCTCTAGGCACTCCTGTCCCCAGCAGGGCATCCTTCTAGGACTACAGCCCCAGTGGGAAGTCTCATCCCAGAAGGGGCAAACTCCCGTCCCCATTCCTCATGATGTGATGGGCTGGGGCAAGAGTCTGGTACTCAGGTCTCTCCCCTGACCCATACACCAGCCTTGAACCTTCCCTTGCTGACTCTGCACAATGAGCACCCATGGAGGCCAACCTTGACTTGTTGCCAGAAGGCTTCCTTCCGCTTATAGTAGGACAACTCAGCATGTCCCCAGACTCATAGGCAATGTTTAGGTCACTGTGTCTTAGAAAAGGACAAGTGGTACATTTGTGTTATGCGAGGGAATCTGCGTTCCCTGAGGGCCAGCTCACTGCTGGGTGACAGGGAGCTCTGACTTCTCTGAGACAAGGGCTCTGGCCTCTCTGTTTGTTGTAAGGTCAATGGGATT